CGGGCGAAGGAAAGAGGAGGAGGCAGCAGAAGCGAAGAGGCCCGCCTGCGGCCAGCCCTGTGCAGACCGATCCCAGAGTGGAGGGAGCAAGAGAGCGTCGGTCGAGGAGGAACAAACGCCATGAACATAGACTTCCGGCGCTCCGCGCGGATCTCTTGGATCCGCGCTGGGGCCCCCTCCAGTGGCGCCTCCGGCGCCGCCCCTGGCGCGCTCCGCGCGCCAGGGAGGGGGGGTCCCGCGCGGATCCATGAAATCCGCGCGGAGCGCCAACAGTTTATGTTTATGGCGTGTTTTCCTCTTCTAAAAGAACACGAGAGCATTGGGGGCGGCCAAGGGGAGGTGACGACCTTGGGGGGTGGATGTCATGGGCGGGGCCACGATATCTCCCCGCATTGCATGGCCCCCTCTTCTGCTTTCGACTCGTCCATCAGCCCCCCCCACTGGCCTTAAGTCGGGCCTGTCCCTCTACAGGGGGGATATTCAAAAATAGTCAAAACATAGCCTGGGGACGATTTTTTTAAAACCAGTTTTGAATATTTGTTGGGCATGTTTTGGGATTTTTTTGTTTGGTTTTGAGATTTTTCGCCCAAAAACCGCCTGTCGGGGGACAGGCCCGACCTAACACTGGTCGCGAGCACGCCTCGGGCCATGATTCGCACACCCCTCTCTTGGGCGCTCCCCCTCTCGGACGCCCCCGAGAGCAGGCACACGTCCCACCCTCCCCTCCGTCGGAGGTTGCCACGGGTGGTTCTGGCCCGTGGTGCCGCCAGCAGCTAGGCGGGCTTGTCCCTCTACAGGAGAGACTTTCAAACGTAGTGGAAAGACAGTCTGGGGACGTTTAATTAGATAACAGTTGAATAAAGTAGAAATGTATATATATATATATATATATTATGTTTGAGCAATCTGTTGAGAGTATGTTTAATGTTTCGCCCCAAATCCCCCTGTAGGGGGACAGGCCCGACCTGACGCCAGCATGTCGGGCCTTCTCGGAGCCCCTCGGGGCCTCCTGGGCCCCGCGAGGGGCGCTCTTGGACAATCCTGGGGACGCCGTGGACCAGGGCCACCGCTGGCAGCGTCCTCCCCTCCAGCCTGAAGTCGGGCCTGTCCCTCTGCAGGGGGGATCTTCAAAAACAGCCAAACCATGGTCCGGGGACGATTTTTTGATCATTTTCGAATATCTTCGGGATATTTTTGACTACTTTTAATCTTTCATCGAAAGTCCCCCTGTGGGGGACGCCCGACGCAACTCTGGCCCCCCGTTCCGCGACGTCAGCGCATGGGATGCCTTGCCGCCCTGGCGCGCGCTCTGCGCATGGGATGTCGTCGTGCTCGCGGCGGCACGGTGGCCCCCTCGCCGCCGGCTCGGCTCTCCGGGCCAAGAAAATGTGTGGCACCGCAATCTGCTCTGTTGGCTTGGTTTACTCTTGCCCAGCTCAGCCTTGCTCAGCCGACTATGAACGCTGAGTGGTCCAATTCAAAGTCAAGGCAAACCAACGAGGTTGTTAGCATGTATGTTCAGCTAAGACAATGTGAGTTGGCCAAGGCAGCCCATTGCCTTGGCCCTCTTGGCGACTTCGCCTGATTTACCCTCATTCCTCAGAAGTGCCTTGGTTCTTGTCGACTTCACACTTAATCAGACCAGTGTTGGGGTCAGTGCGCTGCTCCAGTGCAAGTTGTAAACCTGGCCATGGCCGACTTGATTGATATGGTGCCCTGCAGCTGTTTTCGGGGCTTGTGCGTCCTAGCGACAAGCAGGAAAACGCGCTGTCCCTATTAAGGGCATCACCTGATCTCGGTGCCGATCTTGTGGATTTGCTGAGGTTTTTGAGGGTGCATCCCTCAGGTTGCATTCGCCCTGGGCTTGGCAATCTCAGCGAGAAAGGGCCAGCTCGAAGCTGGTTAGATTCTGCCATGGGGGAAAAGGGGGGTCCTGAGGGCGGCGGGTCCTCGATCCTCGGGGGCCTCCCTGGGGTTCTGTCTTCGTCCCCCCCAGAGGTCCCAGAGAGGCCGAAAGAGAAGAACAACCTTGGGGCCGCATTTCTCCCATGCCAATCTTTCTCATGCCAGGAGGAGTGGGAAGGATTCATGGCCTCCCCCCCACGCACACTCGATCGCGCGCCCTATCGGCCGCCTGCGCTTTCAGTGAGGCTCCTTCTCAGTGTTCTCGTGTATGCATCGTGGCCAGGATGTTCGGGCGTGGGTTCGCAGCTGCCCGGGGCAGTTTCTTGATTCGAGCAGTGAAGACGTGGCGAGGCTGCGTGCCTGGCGGGGGTGATTCGACCTTGCCTCTCGAGAAGCAGTTTCTTGCCAGGTAGCTGGCGACCCCATGCATTTGGGTTCTGTGAACCTCGTGAGCGATCTGCCTGCGTGGGTGGTTTTCCCCTTGCACTCGATTGGTTCATTTTGCCTGTCTGTCCACGCTTCATATTTTTCCCCAATCAGAGCTTGCCTCTGCAGGGGTCCTAGCGGATTCATATGGTTAGGTGAGGTTCGTCGCCGATTTCGGTGTCCGGCCCGGGTTCCCAGGTGCCCGGGTGCCCAGGTGCCCGGTAGCCCTATAGCCTTATAGCCTTACAGCCCGATAGCCCTATAGTCCTATAGCCCTACAGCCCTATAGCCCTATAGGCCCTATAGCCTCAATAGCCCTATAGCTTTATAGCCCAATAGTCCTGCAGCCCAATGACCCTCTAGCCTTATAGCCTTATAGCCCTATAGCCCTAGAGCCCTATAGCCCCATTTCCCTATAGCCCTATAGCCCTATAGCCCTATAGCCCTATAGCCCTATAGCCCTATAGCCCTATAGCCCTATAACCCTATAGCCCTATAGCCCTATAGCCCTATAACCCTATAGCCCGGTAGCCCCATAGCCCTATAGCCCTAAACATATTCTGATTGGGTTTTTCTCCGGTATCATTCATCAAATCCACACTCAATCAGCGCTCGCATGGTGCAGCATCCTTTCATTCACTCGATTACCAGCTTGCGGCCCTCAGGAAGGAAGATGAGAGTAATGACGAGGAGCGGAAGGCTGCTCTTGAGGAGCTTGAGAAGAAGCGCAAGGCAAAGCGCGAGATGGAAGAGGAAAAAGAGAGGATCAGATTGCATCCCCGCTCGGCAGCGTAGCTCAGGACGTTAATTACATCAGGCCATGTGCATGGAGCGGTTTGCAGGGTCGATATTGGTGAACAGCATGCAGTCGAGATACAACCTTGTGCCTTCATACGCTCATCCATGCATTGCGTGGTGGTAAAGCACGCCCTTGTGCCGCGTTGGATTTGCGATGTTCGAAATGTTCGAGCCATTTGTTCACCCGCTTCGCGCAATTCACTGGCCCATGTTGTGTCACCGTTGCCATCTGTCAGTGTGTTCGTGGCGGTTGAGACTTTGTTGGTAGCAGAAATTTCCCCAAGCAATCTCAACGGAACACGTCCCCACACAAGTTTCACTCACCATCGACGCCCGAAAGCATGAGAAGGCAGTAATCATGAAACCCGTAGAGATTCTCATGCCATGCTGAGCCTAGTCTTTGGGGACTCCCAGTCGCCTCTGGGTGGGTTCTGGGGCCTCTCTGGGGCTTCTTGGGGCCTCTGAGAGGCCTCTGGGGGGCTGTCTTGGGCCGCTCGGAGCCACTCTGGGCCGCCTTGGGGGCTGCTGTTGGGCCTCTCGGGACTGTCACGGGGCCCTCTTGGGGAGGCCGGGGCCTCTGGCGGGCTGCGTTGGACTCCGGCCACCTTGGGCTTGCCCTGGGGCCCAGTGGGGGGCGTCTCGCGGCGCTCTTCGGGCCTGCCGCCCGTGGGGGTCTCCTCTCTCGGGCTCCTCTGGGGGCCACGCTGGGGCCCTCTCGGGGCGCCTCTGGGGCGCTCTCGGGGTCTTCGGGGCCCGCTGGGGGCCCTCTTCGGGCTCCACTTGTAGCAGTTTTCAGTGCGGGAGCGCCAGGAAGGTGCTGAAACAACGCTGTAGGTTTTGGAAGGACCGTGTCGGGGGCCTTGTGGGGCATCTTGGGGGATGTCCTGGGCCACCTTTGAGCTAGTTTGGATCGCCCTGGGCCACCCCGAGGCAACAATGGAAGCATCTTGGAGTCACAGTGAGGGCTTCTTGGGGCCAGCACGGGGGGTGTCACGCTTTGACCCGCGCTCTTGGGGTGGCCCTTGGGGGCTTTCGCCCGCTCGTCGCCCGCTCCTGAGCCCTCTTGGGCTCTCTCGGAGCTCCCTTGCGGTCCTCTTGAGGAGTCTTAGGCCCTCTGGGGCTCTCTTGGGGCTCTCCGAGGGCCACCTCGGGGCTCGGGCCTCGAGAAGCTCATTGGAGCCCCCCCCCTGCAGTGGCAGGAAGGCCACACATTTTCGCGAAGCGGCCACGCGCGCAGCGGCGCGGCGTCGTGAGGGTCGAGCGGAAGTGAGACGCGCGCGCGGGCTGGTCCAGAGCACGCGTCGCGAAGACATCCCGCTGCGTGCGGCAGGTCCCGTCACCATGTTGGCTTAGCGTTCTTGGGCGGCGAGTGTTCGAGGGGTACGGGAGGCCGTCACGAGTGGTACCTCGCGTCTTCAGGCTTGGGAGAGATGTGGTGGGATGATGAGGACTATGTATGAGGATGAAGGGGGCGAGGACGGCGACGAGGAGGAGGGTGATGACGAGGATGAGGATGTGGATGAGGACGAGGACGAGGATGACGAGGATGATGCTGCTGATGATGATGATGCTGATGATGATGATAAGGATGCTGATGATGCTGCTGCTGGTGATGAGGATGCAGATAATGATAAGGATGATGACGACGATGATGCTGATGCTGCTGATGCTGATGGTGGTGGTGGTGATGATCATGCTGATGCTGATGATAAGGATGCTGATGCTGATGCTGATGATGCCGATGGTGATGGTGACAATGAAGATGATGATGATGATGATGATGATGATGATGATGATGATGATGATGATGATGATTGTGGGTGGTGGTGATGCTGCTGCTGATGATGCTGATGGTGATGATGATGATGCTGATGATGATGATGCTGATGATGATGATGATGGTGGTGATGATGCGGCTGCTGCTGCTGATGATGCTGATGGTGATGATGCTGATTATGATGAGGATGATGATGACGACGACGACGACGATGATGATGATGATGATGATGATGATGATGATGATGATGATGATGATGATGCGGATGTTGCTGATGATGATTCTGATGATGATGATGATGGTGTTGCTGCTGCTGATGCTGCTGATGGTGCTGATGATGATGTCGATGATGCTGCTGCTGACACTGATGATGATGCTGCTGCTGATGCTGATGCTGCTGATGATGCTGTTGATTATGTTTATGATTATGAACATGTTGTGATTATGATTTTGATGATGATGCTGATACTGCTGCTGATGATAATGGTGATGTTGATGATGATGAGGATGATGATGATGATGCTCATGATGATGATGTTGACGATGCTGATGCTGATGCCGTTGCTGTTGCTGCTGCTGATGATGATTATGATGATGCTGCTGCTGATGATGATGATGTTGCTGCTGATGATGTTGATGATGCTGATGTTGATGATGATTATGCTGCTGCTGATGATGATGATGATGATGATTCTGATGATGCTGATGTTGATGATGATACTGATGACGATGACGATGACGATGACGATGACGATGACGATGACGACGACGATGATGATGATGATGATGATGATGATGATGATGCTGATGATGATGATGATGATGCTGATGATGCTGATGATGATGATGATGCTGATGATGATGATGATGCTGCTGATGATGATGATGATTGTGCTGATGCTGATGCTGATGCTGGCTGCTGTTGCTGATACTGCTGCTGCTGCTGATGATGCTGGCTGCTGATGATGATGATGATGATGATGATGATAATGATGTTGATGATGCTGATGATGATGATGATGAGGATGATGATGATGCTGATGATGATGATGATGATTATGATGATGATGATGCTGATGATGATGATGATGATGATGATGATGATGATGATGATATTGACGATGCTGATGCTGATGCTGTTGCTGTTGCTGCTGCTGATGATGATGCTGATGCTGCTGATGATGATGATGATGATGATGTTGCTGCTGATGATGCTGATGATGCTGATGTTGATGATGATTATGATGCTGCTGATGATGATGATGCTGATGATGATGATGCTGCTGCTGATGATGATGATACTGATGACGATGACGATGACGATGACGATGACGATGACGACGATGATGATGATGATGATGATGATGATGATGATGATGATGATGATTGATGATTGATGATTGATGATGATGATGATGATGATGATGATGATGATGATGATGATGATGATGATGATGCTGATGCTGATGATGATGATGATGATGATGATGATGATGATGATGATGCTGTTGATGATGATGATGATTGTGCCGATGCTGATGCTGATGCTGATGCTGATGCTGATGCTGGCTACTGCTGCTGATACTGCTGCTGCTGATGATGCTGATGCTGATGATGATGGTGATGATGATGATGCTGATGATGGTGATGATGATGATGATGATGATGATGATGATGATGATGATGATGATGATGATGATGATGATGATGCTGATGATGATTATGATTATGATGTTGTTGTCTGGTCACCTCCCGTCTACGCGGGCACAGGTGGGGAACCGACCACGCTGGTGTGCAGCACCAGCACGGACCTCGCAGTGCACTGCGGCGATTGTTGCTGCACCCCGCCGCGGGCCGCAGAACTTGCGCATGAGACAGGAGCGACCTGTCCCAGGCAAAACCGGCCCAGAGGAACCGAAGCGATGATGGCGCATGTACGCAACCGCCCAAAGGTGGGAACCGCCGCGAGGGGGCCACCGCCTTAGGGAACAGCCGTTCCTCCGCTTGGTCGCGCGCCTTCGGTTCGTCGTACAGTTCGTCCATGGTCGCCTTGCGCTTCGCCCAGCGTCGGATTCGCCTTGCGTGAGCGCCGCCTGTACTGGAGCCGCCGCGCGGAAGCCGCCGCCGTAGGAACCGCTCCTGGGAGCGTAGGAGCCGCTTGCGTAGGAGCCGCCGCCGTGGGTGCCGCTTCCGCGGGAACTGCCTTGGGAACCGCCGCAGGAGCTGCCGCCACGGGAGGCGCCGCCGTGGGAATTGCCGCCGTGGGGGCCGCCTGATTGGGAACCGCCGCCGTGGGAGCAGCCTCCGTGGGAACCGCCTCCGTGGGAGCCGCCTCCGCGGGAGCCGCCGCCGCGGGAACCGCCTTTTTGGTAGCCGCCTCCGTGGGGGCCGCCGCCTTGGAAACCGCCGCGGGGGCCGCCGCCGTGGCAGGCTCCGCCGTAGGAACCGCCGCCTTGGGAGCCACCGCCGTGGTCCCCGCATGCGTGGGAACCGCCGCCGTGGGAACTGCCGCTGGGGGGGGGGTGTCGCGTCCGAGTGGAAGCCGCCGTCGTGGGAACCGCAGCCGTGGGAGCAGCCTCCGTGGGAACCGCCTCCGTGGGAGCCGCCGCCGCGGGAGCCGCCTTTTTGGTAGCCGCCTCCGTGGGAGCCGCCGCTCGGAAGCCGCCGCGTGGCAGGCTCCGCGCGTAGGAGCCGCCGCCTTGGGAACCACCGCCGTTGGTCCCCGCTGCGTGGGATACCGCCGCCGTGGAACTGCCGCTGGGGTGGGTGGGGTGTCGCGATCGGTGGAAGCCGCCGTCGTTGGGAACCGCAGCCGTAGGACACAGCCTCCGTTGGGAGGAACCGCCTCCTTGTGGGAGCCGCCGCCGCTGGGTAGCCGCCTTACCTTTTGGTAGCCGCCTCCGTGGGAGCCGCCGCCTTGGAAGCCGCCGCCGTGGCAGGCTCCGCCGTCGGAGCCGCCGCCTTGAGAACCACCGCCGTGGTCCCCGCATGCGTGGGAACCGCCGCCGTGGGAACTGCCGCTGGGGGGGGTGTCGCGTCCGAGTGGAAGCCGCCGTCGTGGGAACCGCCGCCGTGGGAGCAGCCTCCGTGGGAACCGCCTCCGTGGGAGCCGCCGCCGCGGGA